CCGTCCCCAGTTTTTTTCATTATTACCTTACAGGAGTGTGTGTAGCACATCATGGGAGCATAATAATGAGAGGTATTAAATATATTTTTAAAAATGAACATTTCTTATGTTTTGGTCAAACTTGATTATTTACTGATTCCTTATAATATTATATGTATTAACATCTCATTTACTTTTGCTCACAATGTCAAGATATAGGAGATTCCCATACCATCAAATGATTCTAAGCAGATTGGAAGATATGATGTCTTTCCATTTTTGCCAATCAATATTCCATCTAGCCTTCAAAACTCCATTATAAAGCCATCACAATCCTGTACACTCCAGAAAAACTTCCTTGTTCTCATATCCAGATGTCTCTTAGCTGTCCTTTGATTCACCATAGCACTTTGGTTAGCAACACCTATTACACTGAACTTCTCTACAATATATTTTACTACTTTGCATATAGCATAGATGAACGCCATGAAAGCAGCAGTCAAGAAATCAAACAGCATATTGCATTGGACAAATCTGTTGCAAAAGGCCTCTCTAAAGTGTTAAAAAGCAAAGATACCTGACCCAAGCCATGGTATTTTCAATCACCTCATATGCATGCAAAAGCTGGACAATGAAAAAGGAAGACTGAAAAAGAATTGGCGCATTTGAATTATGGTGTTGGCAAAGAATATTAAATATACCATGAACTGCCAGAAGAATGGATAAATCTGTCCTGGAAAAAGTACAGCCAGAATGCTCCTTAGAAGCGAGGGTGAGACTTCGTCTCGCTTACTTTGGACACATTATCAGGAGGGACCAATTCCTGGAGAAGGAAATCATGCTTAGTAAAGTAGAAAGTCAGCAAAAAAGAGGAAAACCCTCAATGAGATGGACTGACACAGTGGCTGCAACAATGGGCTCAAATATAGCAATGATTGTGAGGATGGCACAGGACTGGGCAGCGTTTTGTTCTGTTATACATAAGGTCGCTATGAGTCAGAACTGACTTGACAGCACCTAACAACAACAGTTTGCATATTGATGTAACCCTTTATTTCTCGTCACCTTAAGGGCAAACTCCTGTGTAAAAATGGCGTGGCAAAGGCATCTGACCTCCTCTAACTTCACAAGGGGGAAGGAGAATCAAGATCAACAGCCCAAGGCTTATTCCTATGGGGTGAAGGTCAGACATGCCTCCACTCTCCAATCTTCTTACAATTCCAACACCAACCATCCCTCCCATGGCACACTCTACTTCTCTGCTGAGTTCAACAGTTTGTTGCAATGGCCACACAGAACTCACAGACCATCCTCACAGTTATGGGGTTTATTAGGGAAGTAACTTTATTTGCATTATTAACAAGCTATACAATCCCATTGGTGGGCCACAATTACCTTGTTTGTATAGTCCCACCCAGTCACTTGGGTGGGAGTTACATGACCATGGCAAGAAAGATCATATAAAAGTGATCCATCACACTGAATCCTGTAAGACAGAGATTTTTCTTATCTCTCTTTTAGTCCCTGTAGTTTTCATGACACCTGATTTACTACTCCATGAGGCCAGTGAATTTCAAGGAATTTTTGTTTGTTTGTTTCTGTTTTGTTACCACTGTCTTTATTCTTGCTATAGCAGAGCTTTCTTCAAAGTGATCTTACATCATGATAGTGCTGTATGTAGAAGAGGAAATAACTAGACTCATTCGTGTTAGAAGTGGGTGATAATAGTCTTCCAAAATATCCTCTTTCCAGCTACCCCTTGATGACTCTAAAGAACACCCAAGGCTCTACTCATTCTTATCTGAAAACCACAGCATTATATTTTCAATTATATTAGTATACATCACTGTCAAGCACGGAGAGGTCTTTTATTGCCATCACTCAGTGGTTTAGCAGAAGTCTTACATTTGTGCTTGGAAATAAACTTTATAAGATGTGGGCTAGTGGTGAACTTTTGTTTCATACAATTGTCCATTTTTTGACAAATTTAACTCCAAAAATACCACCCTTTCTGTAGAAATTGAGGGTAAAAAAGATAAGTGGGAAACACAATGCAATTAGATGTTTTCAGCAATAAATTAAATACATACAGATTTTTTCCCCATGCTTTCTTGCCTTTTGAGTAAAGAAGGCTGAAATGAGAGAGAGCTGACATTTTGCATGCATGCGGGAGGAAGGGGAGGGGTTGATAGATTGGTTTGGGGTAGGCATTCTACCAGAATTGTTTTTGGAAGATTTAGGTACTCTGGTGGTGCAGTGGTTAAGCATTAGGCTTCTAACCAAAAGGTCAGCAGTTTGAATCCACCAGTCGCTTCTTGGAAACCCTATGGAGCAGTTCTATTCTGTCCTAAAGGGTCACTATGAGTCGGAATCAACAGGACAGCAATGGGTTTTTGGTGACGCAGTGGTTAAGCACTGGGCTAGTTACTAAAAGTTTGGTGATTTGAACCCACCAGCCTGTCCACAGGACAAAAGACCTGGCAATCTGCTTCCTCAAAGATAACAGCCCTGGAAACCCTGTGGGACAGTTCCACTCTGTCCTATAGGGTTGCTATGAGTCAGAATGACTCTAAGGCACACAACAACAACAGGTCATCATAGCTAGAGGCAAGGAGAGTACTCAGATGTTGGTTTTGCTGGCAGTGTTTCTATGGGTATGTAAAAGATTTCTTTCATAGAGGTAGGAAATTGCCTTGATTTCTGATCTGAAGAGATGCCGAGTTCCGCTTGTCTCTTGGGCTATAACAATTCAATTGGTAAGAATATAGAATGTGCCTATACAAACAAAAAACTCAGGAAGGGAAGGGAGAAGAGAAAAGAGACGTAAAAGAACACGAGATGATATTTGCTCTTAGGGTACGAAAATTGAAGCAATAGGTTTAGGTTGTCACCAAATGCAGTATTTTAATAGCATCTCATCCTTCATAATCCAAGTCTTTTACTCACTTTTCCCTTTCCTTCTTCTTCTTTCCTGTCTTTCTCTTCACCAGTCCCCCCCCCCCTTTTTATTTCATCTGTATCAGAATGTTGAATGGGCTGTTTGCTATTGTCTATTGTCTAGGAATTTCTGTTAAAGCTGTAAAGTTTCTGCAAAAATAGCCTGGAAATACCTCTGCCTGAGAGACTGGGCTCCATCCCAGGTTTTTTTTTTTTTTTTTTTTTTTTTTAAGGCAATTGAACCAACTGAGCTACTCTCATCCAGTCACCTCTCTCCAGAAGTCTAGGTAATTTAGGAGAGGGTTGTGAGTCATTGACCTAGTACGGAATGTTTGTAAGGTAGACCCTCCAAGATAGTAGTTGCTTGAGATAATTGTAGATTGGCACCTCATTCCTCTGGTGAATGTCTGTATCTGAATCCAACTTTCTGATCTACTCTGTGTCTATGTGAACAAGAGGAGAAGAGAATTGATGAGAGACACCAGGAGAGGGGTCAGCCGTGATCCTGCATGATTGCTACTGTTTGGAGTAGTTAGGATGCATGGGTGTCCTGTGGGTCAGTTGGCAGATAGCTGAGCTTCAGCCAGTTTTCTCCAGTAAGGTATGTGCTGGGTAAGGGGAACAGCATCATAGGCTGTAGAGAACACTGCAGATTTCAGAACTGTGGGGTGCATGAAAGAATCAAGCCAGAGCGTATCCCCCCAGGAAAGAAACCATATAGTCTAAAGAAACCATGCAGTCCCCTCTTGTGGATGTCTGGAAAATCGTAAGTGTGCCCTACAAGAGAGACACCCACCACTCAGGGAATTCAAGGTTAGTCCCTGTCGGTAATGAAGCAGCTACAGTAGTACCACATAGGTAAGAGGTGTCAGAACTTTTCCATCTTTCCTAATCCTCTATCCCATCCGCACATGTCAGAGGAATGGAGACCCAGTGAGGTAGGGCAAAGAAACAACATAGGAAGTGCCCTAATCTGCTTTTCTGTTAGGTCCCTTGAGCCACAACAAAAACCAGTTGCTGTCAAGTTGATTCTGACTCATGGCAACCCCAAGTGTATGGAGCAGAACTGCTCCTTAGGGTTTTCAAGACTGTGACCTTTCAGAAGCAGATAGTCAGACAGTTCTTCCCAGGCACTCTGGGTGGGTTGGAACCACCAACCTTTTCGGTTAGTAGTTGAGCACTTAACCTTTTGTACCACTCAGGAAGCCACAGTAGGGGAGAGGAAAACATTAAATTGATTGGATATGAGATGCCTGGACTGGACTTAGACTCAAAGTGACTAGAAAACTATGGAATGAATGTATCCAAGAGGATGCTAAGGATATGAGAATTCAGTAAAGCATGTTTGAAGACAGTTATTAGAAAAAGATAAAACCATTTCATGATTGTATCCTAACAATTTTAGATGGTTCAATAAACCTCACGTTATTTGGGTGCATCACAGTTTCATAGTACTTATATTGTCTGCCATAACACTGTAAAAGTTAGCGGATAATAATGTGGCTGGCTTTCTTAAAGAATTCTGAGAATTTCAAGTAGATACAAGAGACTAAACGGGCAGTTTCTGTCTGGAGGTGAGATGGGAAGGCAGAGAGCGTTAGGAGCTGGTTGAATGGACATGGGGAATCAGAGGTAGAAAGGAGGAGTGCGCTGTCACAGTAAGGGGAGAGCAATTAGGGTCACATAACAATGTATGTAAAGATTTTTGTATGGGAGACTAACTTGAAATGTAAACCTCATTTAAACTACAACAATAAAAAAAAAGAATTCTGAGAATTTACTCTTCTTTGTAGCATGACTAGCACGATTAGTAGTTAGCTAAGTCTTTGATTCTAATAACTTGACCCACAATAATTTACTCTGATTCTAAAGTAAGCTGTTAATTGCCTTATTTGCAAGGCTGGCTTCTGGTGTTTGGGACAAAATTTGCTAGGAACTTCTCAATGGTAGTGATGAGTTCTCTTTTTAATTTCTATTATTTGAAGATAAGAAACTTTGACAAATTGGCTTTTTAGAATTTGGCGTCTCCAAGGAGTCAGTTTTTATTTTTTAAGAGAAGACCCATTACACTCAAGCATGCACTAAAAAGCTGTATAATAAGAGAAACTTGTTATGGGATGGATCGTTAAGAACCATCTCAGAAACAGATGGAATGGATGTGGGCTCAGCAGTTGCTGTCATAGATGATTCGGCATTTGAGGAGTTTGAGATAGTTGTCAATCTTGTGCGAATCCCTGCGTAGGCAGTGGAGTAGGTTATAAAAAGCAAACAGGCGAGTGTCTTCATCGGCCATCTGCAGAGATGGAAGTCCCGACCAAACAGAGTAGACCTCATTTTCTTTGACTCCAGGATGAACCTAATTGTCGAAAAGATAGTGACTTAGTATTATTAGTATCTGTAGACCCTTGTTCCTTGTAATTGCTGAATTAAGATTTGGGGAAGAATATGTTCATCTGTAGATAAGTGGATAAATAAGATGTGGTATATCCATACAATGGAATATTATACAGCCACAAAAAAGGAAAAGTCCTCATACTTGCTATGACATGGATGAAAGTTGAAAACATTATGCTAAGTGAAATGAGGCAGACACAAAAGGGCAAATCTTGTATGATTCCACTTATATGAAATATCTGGAATAGGAAAATGCATGGAGACAGAAAGTAGATTAGTCATTATCGTGGGCTGGGGTGAGCTGAGGCCAAGAACAAGCAGTTAATTCTTAATGGGTCCAGAGTTCCTGTTTGGGTTGATAAAAAAAAAGTTTTGGACACAAATAGGGGTGGTAGTTGTACAACATTGTGAATACAATTAATTGCACTGAATTGTACTCTTAAAAATTGTTAAAATCACAAATTTTATGTTATATATATTTTACCACAATTTAAAAATATATTTAAAATACATATTTGGGGAAGATATAGGATTGCAAAACTCTCTAGACAGAGGCATGGATTATTGGGCTAGTGTATCAGAAATCTATTAGTAATCTAAAAACCAGAAGCAGAAAGAATGTGTTAAGTTTTCTGATATGTATGTGATTGCTACGAGTCGAAATTGACTCGACGGCAACGGGTTTTGGGTTTTTTGGTTTATATGATCACAGATGAAGTATGTTTGTTCGGGAGTGGATAGACAGAGAACAGAAAGTTGCTATTTGAAGATAGACTTGAATGTGACCAAAGGAAGATGGAGGAGCTAGCCTTAATCCTCTCACTTGAGGAATTATTCTGTTTCCTGGTTTTTGTTCCTGATGTGTATTTGTACTTCCTTTTATTCTGACAGGGCACCATAATTACATTTATCTCTTCTTGCTTTGAAGTGAGTTCTACTCTCCAAATAGTGTATGTACCAAAGAACTTAGAAATGATGAGAGATGTACTTGGTATTTTAAGGTGCAGATAATCTAGTGATGATTCTAACTAAGAAGATCTGCTTAAGTGATCAGGGGGTGTTCACATTCTACCCCCCAAATGAGTATGAAAAAAGCTACTGTCTTTTGAGGCCCCTGGGTTGGAAGGTGCTGGGAAAATCACCAATGAGAAAGGGTAGTGCAAACAGCAACCACTCGGTGGTAAAGGCTACGTGGTAAGGTTAGGGACATGATTGTGATAAATAAAAGATATTGAACAACATGAGAGAGGGAGCTTTGTGTCTCTCTGAATTCTGTCTGCAGGCTGGGAGTCCCAGAGATCTAAGAGACTGAGTAACCAGCCTGGTGACTTTAGGGATGCAAATGAATTTGGAGAGCTATTATGTATAATTCTTGGATTCTATAGACCCTGATCTGCTGAACTTTCTCTTACAGAGTAAGAATATTTTTTAAATCTGGGATTCCCTAGTGGAATTCAAAGGCCGTAAATATATATACAAATACATATGGTGCCGTGGTGGCACAGTGGTTAAGAGTTCGGCTGCTAACCAAAAGTTCAGCAGTTAGAATCTACCAGCTGCTCCTTGCAAACCCTATGGGACAGTTCAACTCTGTCCTATAGGGTTGCTATGAGTTGGAATCAACTGGACGACAATGGGTTTGGTTTTTGTTTTATAT